TTAGCCATTCATGAATGCAAGCCAGACTTTGTATACAAACGAAGTATGTACAGTTCTTATTTCTAACTTTGCCATTTTGTTTATTCAGTCTTTGTACCTTCTCCTTATTACTAAGACTGTTACTACTTTTGTGGGGGTTTTTCAGTTTGAACAGTTTCCAATTATATATCGTTTGACTCATATTGACGAATATGAGACGTCTGAAAAACTCATGGAAAGCTATAAAGACCTGCGTCATACTGAAGTCTACGCTGAAGGTGATACCTAGAAAGACAATGAAAGCTTTGCAATTAAAACATCCATTTCAGCGAATACAACTAAAAATGAATATTTTCTTTTTTATATTGAAACAGTTAATCCCTTTGATAAACGTGAATGAGGCATTTAGAAGACAAATTTTTTGAGATGATATCATTTCGTTGTTTCTCTATAGTCACTTTACAATTAGCATGGTTCACAATAGTGTAATGAAATGCATGACAATTACTCAGTTGATGATGAACTCAAACAACTAAAAGAAACCTTCATTGAGAACCGGTATCTACTATGCTTAGTAGAGGCTAATAGCAAATTACACGGAAGAAATACAGAGATTGATAAGGTAGCTAAAAATGTGTTGCACCTAAACTTAGAATTTAGGGGTAACACTGCAAGTGAAGTACTTAAAAATCGTCTGACGAGATCATTGAGAAAAACTTTTTTGCGATCACTTTACGAATAACCTACCCTAGCCATCCACTGGTGCCCCTCTGATGTCAAGGAAATGTTACCTCAATTGTCTAATTCCATGTGTATTTATATGTCCACCTGCTCTTGCAGAGCTAGGTGCACAGGACGTTCATCGATAAACATATTCCTCCGCTTTCGAAAGCACCTCCTAGTTTGGCTGAGCAAAGCAGAACACAGATGCATTAATTCATCAATATTGCAAAATATTGTAGATACTGACCACGCAGCAGCTGACACATCGTTGATTACAGTCTACAAAGACCGGCAAAGTTTGCAGAAAGGGACACGAGTGCATTTGCTTTGTATAGCAGAGGCTTTTTTGTAATAAATTACTCAGTCAACTAAAACAAAAGTACATACTAATGACCAATCATATTTAAATAGGTCAAGTAGTCCAGCAACCACAATAACAATAATTTGCTTTATTCCAAAACAGTACTAATGCTACAGTGTAGAATTTTCAGCACTTGGTCTTTGGTAGACGACATTAATTGAAGTTTGTTGTTGTTTTTTTTTATACAGGGGTACCCACAGTTTACGATGTATGTGATCAATGCAGAGTGCTTCCATCACCTTTAATAACCTTGAATTTGAGTTATGTGAAATAATTATGAAGCAGTCATTGATATTGATTTTGTGACTTTACATTAGTAAGTGCTTTGTAATGGATGATGACGATGATGGATTTGTATTCAGATTAATTGTATTGGAATTTGAAGATGTTGTCCAGAAGGATAACGAAAGCTCCGCAACTAAAACAACCAGCTCAGAGAACACTATTAATTGCTAATTTTCTATACGTCTTCATAACCATTTTGGAACATGTTCTTTTAGTTTATTTTGTTTTATTATTGTGAACCATGACAGTTGTAAGGAGATTGTAGAGAAACTATGAAATGACGATATCATCTCGCGAAGTTTGTCTTCTTTCGTGAGATATACTTGCTAGTGTTTACTTTTGTAACAAGTACGGATCTTGAAAAAAGATTTTACACTCAAATTTTTTCGTTTTTAATTTTAAGAGTCTAGTGGCATTCTTTAATTGTTATTATTATTATTAAAAATTTCCCAAAATACAAACTTAGCACATAACTGACACCAAAAGATGCACCACGCAAAAGCTCATAGTTTGTGCAAGAGCCAGGATACTGCTCAGATGGAAGCAGGTGGTTGTCTTTGGGGATCTTACCTTAGAGCCTCTGATTTGAAGTCTAATCCACAAGGCAGTAGAAAAGCATCGTCAGTAGCTAAGTTCCCAGAGATGACGGCGACCAAAACAGGTTTATGCGCTACTCGTTCCTTTTGGATTCTGGAGCCTGTGTGTGCACCATAACTTTGGAATCAAGGCTATCCAACTCCTCTAGGTAGACCAGCTTGTCCACCAGTCCGTTTTTAAGCACCAGACATCCGCATTTGCCCTTTCAATTTTGTAAGAAACATCCTCGCCATGAGGAGACAGTGGACAGAAGTCACTTGGCAGAGGATATAAACTCTTGGCCATACGAGAACATTTGGAGAGGAAGACTCTACCTACCCTCAGTCGTATCAGGTCGTTTATGGGGGTAGTGATATTCTTACTGCTAATTTCTTATGAAAAAAAATGAACAACATACGATCACCATTTGCTAAATCCTATTAAAAAAATTCATCGCATAAGACTCAATTTCGACTGAAAGTTCAGTTATGTGCTTATGTTTTATCACTTACCAACAATAATTCCTTGAGTGTAACAAGAAACTTAAAAACTTCTGGAAATCGTTCTGGATACTATGCATAATGGAGGTTGCGTCACTAATATGCATTCGGTTTTGAAAGATGGCCTAGTCATATCAGATCACTGTTTACTGAACCATAACAAACAGTTTCAGAAGGTTTCCGATAACGTAAACATAAAGTAACTTCTACATACCTTGTTCAATATATTCTGTTCTACAGACTTATAGATATTTTCTCTTCAGTATGAAAAGACAATGAAGTATTTAAGATTTGAGGCTGTGTCAATGTGAAGTCAGTGCTACTTTATGGATCAGAGACTTGGCGCGTCATAAAGAGCATCTCAAACAAACTACAGACCTTCATTAACAGTTGTCTTCGCTCAATACTCAAGATCAGACTT